CCGCGTTCGAAATTAATTTTCTTTGTCTCCTAGTTGAGCCCAAGTAGAGGCATTTATTGATGCTGCAGGTATGGCACTAGGAGACCAGCATTGCGGTGCTCAGATTCAAAGCTTCTTGTCGAGCGGTGTTGCGGCCGGGCGTTGGCGTCACACAGGGCCGGCAGCGGCCCGTGGGACCGTAAAAGTGGGTATATGTGGGGCGGAGACAGGACATGGCATCTGGGCATCTGGGGCGACGGGGCCGGGCGCACTCCTTCATGCCCTAGCCAAGCATGGCATGCTTCGGGCATGCTTCAGGCATGGCCCGGTGGCAAATTGTGCCCCCAGAGGCAGAGAATGGTCGATACGCATGTATCTTGGGCGTTTTACAGGGGTCAAGTCGTGCAACGGGTGTGCTCTCGTGAGCCCGTCTCAGGTCAGATGCTCCTGTGAGAAGGGCCAGCAACCAAAACTGCCCGGCCGCCTTCACCGCGGCCGTCATCGCCTGCGTGCGTGTTATCCAATGACACGCTCTAAAAGACCTTGTATACTACTTGCATTTGGAGGGTCCCGAATGGTTATGCAAATTGCAGACCGCAGAGGAGAGTGGCGACATGACTTGGACACGGAACTGCCACCAATGAGGCCTTCCTGCTCAGGGTCAGCCCCCAGGTGACTGCGTGGTTCTAAAGGATCTGTTCGCGAGGCTGAATAGAAACGAAGACGGTTATATTATATGCTTAAGGAGGCAAGGTTAGACCGTGAAGAGTTTCGTAGAACGTAGCCCTGTATAATTGTGTGGCCGGCCTTGAAGTTCTTGGAACGCTCACTTGGTCAGTGCGAGTCGTAACTGAAGTAGGAGGCAAGGAGTATTTGCCCAGGCCAGACTCGACACGGCCGGAAGCAGAGATGCAGGGATAAAAAAGAAAAAAGCGCAAGAACGCCAACAGGAGCGGCAAAAGGACAAGTGATGACAGGCAAACTAGTTCCGCAAATGACGCCAAGAGCAACGCAATCTACGTAAGTTCGGATCCGGCTAGGAAGGGAAGGTTCGGGTAGGCCCACTTCTCCAATTGCTCCTGGTTCGGACGACATTTTTCTCTCCCGACCCTTGTTTTGGCGCCATGCATGCACCCGCGCATTCCCGCCACGTCATGTGACACCGCGCCGATTTGGGTGTTTGGACGTCGGGAGGTGGAAGTGGTATCCGGGGTGAATTGCTCAGCGGGCTTACTATTTCTGCTAGGTGCGCTCACGCCTTACTAGGTACTTAATTATTATGCTTTATATTATAATATATTATAT